GGTTGTCGGGGGTTGGAGGGGGTTGTAGGGGTGGGGTTGATGGAGGTTGGGGTGTTGGGGGTCATTGCGTTGATGGGGGTTGTGGAGGGTTGTAGGGCGGGTGGGGGGGGGGGGGTGGAGGGGTTGGTTGTTGCGGATGAGGGTTGGCGGGTTGTAGGGGTTGGGGGTCATTGCGTTGATGGGGTTGTGGAGGGTTGTAGGGGTGGGTGGGGGTTGGGGTTGTGGCGTTGATGGGGTTATGGGGTTGTAGGGGTTGGGGGTTTGGAGAGGTTGTTGTGCGTGTGTGTTAATATTGTGATGGAAGACAAAGAGTGAAGCAAATGTGGTTTGTATACGTAATGTATAAAAACAAAGCTTATTTTTATGTTTGTGGTTGTAGCAAAAGTTCGTGGTGTGATTCGGTTTATATGATCCATTTAATGTATTGGTCGTATGGTTGTGGGAGAAATGAGTGTTTGTCTGGTTGTGATGATATGGGACAGTCTTCAAACAAACTAGGATATAGTGTTTTTTTATCACAAACCAGAAAAGTATTTTGATTTGATATATGCATTTTAGTTCTTCAGATTTAGTGACATTCATCAATATTCCACAAATTGCTATTCATACTTGTAGACAGATTGTATATATCGCTATACTGAATAATTTGAAATGATCATGGGACTGTAGTTCAACTTGAATGTACTCCAGTTACAGTGACTATAATCAGTTCTTGGTAAGATATGGAATAAAAAACAAACAGACAACAACAGTTAGATCAAAATAGAAGAGGTTATTTGGTTGAAATTCATCGGGTTTTCTGTTCTACATATAGTTTTGCAGGGGACCAGAAGATATGTGAACATGAGAGGAAATTTTGTAATTGATGGTGTATATCTATCTATCTATATAGACACATGTTATATTATTTTTTCTTTATTTAATTCTAAGGGTAGGCTCAATTAAATAAACCTCCATCTCACATATTTTCCTCGTAGTTAGTTTTCATCTCTCTCTGTCCCCTGGTATTTTGAGAACTACAGAAAGTAAACATGGTACTGGTCCTATCTACATCTACAGACCTTAACTTCTAGGAGTACTGATACATCAAACATCTGCAGCAATATATCTCCGTCTCTCAGAGATTGCCGACCGCCGCGACACGCTCTAAAGCAGCGGTAGATACTGCAAAAGCCGCCTGCAAGAATCCAGCGAGACTATTGCATGTCTACAAGCCGTCGCCATCAGTTCTTAGAGATGCCTTGTTGGACAGCCTACTCGAGTTCATATACTGCCAGTGAGTGAAGGAAAAAAAGGGGAAGAAGGTGAAAGAGAAACGAGAAGATAGAGAGCGAGAATAAGAAGAGAAGGTAGTGGAAGAGAATTAGAAGAGAAGAGAAGATAGTGGAAGAGAATAAGAAGAGAAGAGAAGATAGTGGAAGAGAATTAGAAGAGAAGAGAAGATAGAGAGCGAGAATAAGAAGAGAAGAGAAGATAGTGGAAGATAATTAGAAGAGAAGAGAAGATAGTGGAAGAGAATTAGAAGAGAAGAGAAGATAGAGAGCGAGAATAAGAAAAGAAGAGAAGATAGTGGAAGATAATTAGAAGAGAAGAGAAGATAGTGGAAGAGAATTAGAAGAGAAGAGAAGATAGCAGAAGAGAAGAGAAGATAGTGGAAGAGAATTAGAAAAGAGAAGATAGTGGAAGATAGTTAGAAGAGAAGAGAAGATAGTGGAAGAGAATTAGAAGAGAAGAGAAGATAGAGAGCGAGAATAAGAAGAGAAGAGAAGAGAGAGAGAGAGAATAAGAAGAGAAGAGAAGGTAGTGAAAGGGACATAGAAGATGAAGATAAAAAAGAAATAGAAGATGAAGAGAAATGAAAGGGAGAAAATGAAGAAGAGAAAAAGAAAAAGAAAATGAAATGGATCAAGATAGACAGAAAAGGAAGAGTAGAGGAAAAAGATGAAGATGAAATAGACAGTGCACTAAAATTCCACAAAGAAATGGCACACCACAAATCGACCCAGAAAAGAAAAGTTCCACCAACAGCTCTAAAAAAGAAAACTTGCAAAGAGAAGCTGTAAAGTACATTCGCTCGAGGCAGCCACCCTAGTGACATACGAAGCAACCAACAGAGAGGATTCAGCCGTCACAGAAAGCTTGTTTTGAATCCTCAGCGATCTTATCAGCAGAAGTAGAAGAAAAAAGATGAAGAAAATATGTATCAAAAAGGAAAAAACAACAACAACAAAGCGTGAGATGTGGAAGAAAAAAGATGAAAATATGTTAAAAAGAAAAAGAAAACCAGCAAAGCGTGAGATTTGGATGCTTGGATGACCCACCGAGATGACATTATACGAATTGGACATCATAGCAATGAGGAGATTCAGCAGAACGATAATGTTGATCACCGAGTAAGACCCGAACATCAACATGGCCCAGAATCGCGTGAAACTCCCGACACCCGTGAGTTCGAAGGCGTCTAACTCCACAAGGCCAAAGGAAGCCCAGAAGAGAGACTGGGAGGTCTCGAATAAACTGTAAGGGAGAGACGGTTGTACAGGGTCAGTGGGGGGGCTTTAAGACGGAAGGAGTTGAGGGGGAGGGACTCAAGACCGAGTTGGAAGGGGGTTAAGGGGGGTTAGAGGGAACCGGGGACTGGTAATAGAGGTTCTCATCCCTTCCTTTCCGCCTGCCTTCCTTCCTCTCGTCGGAACCGGCGTGTGGGATTCACCTGGAAGCGGAGGGGACTCACCTGGATCTTATTGTACGAGGAGGACATCATGGCAATCAAGAGATTAAGCAGAACGATTACGTTGATCACCGAGTATGACCCGAACATCAACATCGCCCAGAACCTCGTGAAGCTGCCGAGACCCGCCAGTTCGAAGGCGTCCAATTCAACCAGGCCAAAGGAAGCCCAGAAGAGGGACTGGGAGGTTTCGAAGAGGCTGGCAGCCGAAGGGAAAGCGTGAGAGAGTATAGTGACGGAAGAGAATTGTTGCTACGGAGGGATTTTGGGCAGATTTTGGAAAAAATTAAAGCATTTTTTTTAAATTAGAAAAGCCATTAGAGTCCCTGAGAAAACAAAGTTAGGTTTTCCGTTCATCTTATTGCTGCTGCTGCTTCTCTGGAAGTGGAGAAAAGTTAGTTTATGATTTTTTCCCCAAATTAAGTACGGTCTACGAGACTAAGAAACTAGTGTAAAAAAACCAACTTATGAACGCAGAATACCCCCTCTATTACTGCACTCACTAACAAACTGCTCTTTTAGCACAGGAGATAATGATCCAATAACTCATAGACTTAAAATTCACTTCGCAAAATAGATAAAACACAATACATACTTCCCTGTTCTTATAGGACACGCCTTCGAATTGGTAAAGCTATCATCATTATATATTTCCTGATTTCGTTCCTATAACAGGGCTACATGCCTTACCGAATGCTTAAAGCCACCTAATCAATCAAAAAAAAAAAAAAAAAAAAAAAAAAAAAATCCTATAAACTGCCAACGGACGGAAATAAATAAAATCAACGAGCAAGACAGACTTGGACTCACTTGGCAAAACGTCTCCAAATAAAGCAAGCTTGTTCTTGATTGTCGTAATCCGGCAGACCTCCGGGCAAGCTGTAACACTTCTGCATTTCCAACTCAGCGTAGTACCACATCAGCTGATTCAGACCTGCGTGGGGAGGGGGGGGGGGGGGCGAGAGATAGACAGGGAGTGAGAAAGAGAAATATATTTAGAGGAGTGATTTATATACGTTTCGAGATATAAAAGCAAATCTGAATTAAGGATAAATATAATGATAAGATGGAAAAAACTCACTTTTGTGTTCACTTATTGAAAGATATAACTTGGAAATGAAAAGAAATGAGTAATGTAACAGTTCGTTTGAAAAAGCACGAGAGAGACAGAAACAGGGAGACATATGCTGAACATAAAACATAAAGAAAAATCCCACTGAAAGCAAAACATAACAGTGACACATAATCCCCCCCCCCAAAAAAAAAAAAGAAACCCCCCTTTTCCAAAAGAAGACAAAAGACACTGACCACAACCAAAGGCGAAGAGGACGAGAGTGTACAAGAAGAAGAACTTGAGAATATCGAAAATCATGCGACCGAGAGAGATTTGCAAGGGACCCAAGTGCGGGTTCACGCTGAAGATATGCACCAACTTCAAGAAACTGGGGAAGAAAGTGGTTATCATTAATTTATTCATTTATTTTTATTTACTTATTTTTATTTACTCATCCATCTGTTATTGCTTATTGGTTCATTTATTTATCTGTTATTGCTCATTGGTTCATTTATTTACTTATCTGGTATTGCTTATTAGTTTACGAGTGCGTCAGTTTCACGAAATGAGAGAGGAATTTTTTTTTTCTACAACCGACTTCAAGAACTGAAGAGGGTTCTTCGTTCATTAATTTATTTTTATTCATGTTTTACGACTAACGGGAATATCTGGATTCCTTTCAAGAAAAAGGAGCAGGGAGATTATAAGCAGAAGTAGGAGTAGGCAAAATATAATAAGAATTAGAAGGCAAAATATAATATAAGAATTAGAAGGCAAAATATAACAAGAATTAGAAGGCAAAATATAAAAGAATTAGAAGGCAAAATATAAAAGAATTAGAGGCAAAATATAATAAGAATTAGAAGGCAAAATATAATAAGAATTAGGAGGCAAAATAATAATAAGAATTAGAAGGCAAAAAAATAATAAGAATTAGAAGGCAAAATATAATAAGAATTAGAAGGCAAAATATAATAAGAATATTAGAAGGCAAAATAAATAAGAATTAGAAGGCAAAATATAAAAGAATTAGAAGGCAAAATATAATAAGAATTAGAAAGCAAAATATAATAAGAATTAGAAGAAAAACACAATACGAATGCAAAATATAATAAGAATTAGAAGGCAAAATATAATAATTAGAAGGCAAAATAGAATAAGAATTAGAAGGCAAAATATAACAAGAATTAGAGGGCAAACTATAATAAGAATCAGAAGAAGAACCAAGAAATAGCCATCCCAACGAGACGAGGAGTGCCACACCTGAAGATCATGGCGGCACCGAAACATCCCTCAGAGAGCAACATGGGGTCGAAGCTGTGCCACTGTTCCCTCGGATACCAGGGCCACAGTCCGTTCCACAGGTCGAGCTGGACCAGGAGGAACGAGGTGGCACGCAAGAGGATCCAGGTCATGAAGAACGAGTTGGTCACGAAGTCGATGATGTTCCACAGGTCCTTGATGTACTCCAGAAGGCCGTCACTCCAGAGGGACTTGATCTCGGCCCATATTAAACCTGGGGGGGGGGGGGGTCGTTTGAGAGTTTGTTTTGATGGTTCACTATATTGTCGTTTATTATTATATTCTTGCTATTTATCATCATATTTTGGGCATTTATCATTCTATTTTGTTATTATTATATTTTTGTTGTTTAGTATTATTTTTTTGCAATTTATTATTATATTTATGCTATTTATTTTATATTTTGGTATTTTGGTATTTATTATTATATTTTTTATATTTATTATTATATTTTTGCTATTTGTTATCAGATTTTGGTCGTTTTTTGCTATATTTTTGTCATTTATTTTTATAAGTAGGAACAGAGATGGAGAAATCCAGAGATAGAGAGAGATCTAGGGATAGAGATAGAGAGAAGTAGCAACAAAGAGAAATCTAGAGAGAGAGAAAGAGGGAAAGATCTAGGAATAGAGATAGAAGTAGCAACAGAGATAGAGAAACATCCAGAGATAGAGAAAGAGAGATCTAGGGATAGAGACAGAGAGAAGTAGCAACAGAAATAGAGAAATCCAGAGATAGAGAGATAGAGGTCTAGGGATAGAGACAGAAAAGTAGCAACAGAGATAGAAAAAAGGGACCTAGGGATAGAAATAGTAGCAACAGAGATAGAGAAATCAGATCTAGGATCAACAGAGACAGAGAAATCTAAAGAGAGAGAAAGAGATCTAGAGGATAGAGACAGAGCAGAAGTAGAGAGACAGAGAAATCTAGAGAGAGAGAAAGAGAGATCTAGGGAGACAGAGAAAAGTAGCAACAGAGAAGAGAGAGAGAGAGAAGAGAGATCTAGGGATAGAGACTCAGAGATAGAGACAGAGAAAAGTAGCAACAGAGATAGAGAAAAGGGGACCCAGGGACAGAGACAGAGAAAACAGACACGAGACACGCAGTTCCAACTCACTTCCGACGTACATCACGATGCACACTTCGACCAGCCCGGGCAAGGAGCCTCTTTCTCGTATCTTCCAATCCTCGAGGACCGATCGTAACCAAGCGTTTCCGAACCATTCGATTAACAGGTATTCGATCCGTTGCGAAGCCAAAGCCAGGAGCACTTTGGGAGAGAAGGGAAACGGACGAGTTGGGTTAGTGTTTAAAGTAATTAATTGGTGAGATTGAGGGATGATAATGTAGCCGAGCGTTTCCGAAACGTTCGAATAACTGGTACTCGATCCGTTGCGAAGCTAAAGCCAGGAGCTCGTGGGGAAAAAAGGGGAATCGGAGGAGTTGCGTTAGCTGTCAGGTAATCAACTCAGGTAATTGATTATTTAATCGTTGATACATTGATATATATTGCTGGAGATTTTTATGTATTGATGTTGATTTATTATGTTTAAGTGATTGCTAGAAGAAGTTTGGGATATTATTATTTTACATTTTTTTTTTTTTTTTTTTTTTTTTTTTAGCGTTAGTAATTCCGTTATCTATAATGATTGTATACTTCACACTACTACTGCTATTACTGCTGCTGTGATTATATTGACATAGATACTTATTATGATAATAATGATGAAGATGCTACTACTACTATTACAAGACTACTATAACAACTAATAATGACATTAGTAATAATAATGATTATTATCATGATTATGATAATAATTATCATAGTCATCATTATATTTATTATTATCATCATCAGGAATAACATTCAGTATCAATTTTATCATGACTTACAAAATGGCTATCATACATTACTTTAAATACATGTATTTTATTAAAGAAAACGGACTACACAAGGGAAAAAAAGGGAGAAAGAAATAGGATAAAAAGAAAATCCTACAACACGAAGCCTATCCCAAACAAACCATACAAAAACAAAACAAACAAACAAACAAACAAAACAAAACAAACAAAAAAACAAAAACAAAACAAACAAACAAAACAAAAACACAAATCCACTCACTCAAGAAGAACATATACGAAGCGCAGTGACAGATAAACTTCACGAAGGGTTTCTTCATGAACTTTCCCTTCTCAGAATTCGGGTTCACGATGTAGCACATTGGGGGGAACATAGGCCAGCTTCGATGTCATGCACTGGGCCACCATGGTCTTGCGGCGGAACCCTGGGAGGCCGTCGTACCAGATGGAACCGAGGAGCTGCTGCACGTTGGGGTGGGCTACGAACTGCAGACGGGGCGGAAGGGAGAGAAGGGGGGAAGAAGGGGAAGAGGGGGGAGAGGTGGTTAGTTTG